AATGAAAGTGACTCCTAGATATTTACTAAAAGAAAGAAAACAAGTTCACAAAAATGTATATGGTTTTATTCAAAAGAGCAAAACATTGTAAACAACTCAAATTTTTGTCAAGAAAAAAATTAATTGTGGTATATTCAAACAGTGAAATACTACTTAGCAATAAAAAGAACTGAACTAACTGGGCATGGTGGACACACCTCATGTCCTGGCTACTCAGGAGATGGAGACAGAAGGGTCATGAGTTCAATGCCAGACTGGGAAAATTTTGTAAGACCCTATCTCAAAAATAAAATACAAATAAAATAGCATAGCTCAAGTGGTAGAGTGAAGTCCTGGGTTCAATCCCTTAGTACACTCCCCACCCCCAAACTGAGCCACTAGCATACAAAACATGATTGAATCTCACAAAATATTACACTGAACAAAAGGAGCCAGGAGAAGAAAGAGGTCATACTGTATGGTATTATTTATATGAAACTCAAAGTAACATGGTTAAAAGAAATCAGAATATTGGGGGCTGAGGGTGCAGCTCAAGTGGCAGAGTGCTTGCCTAGCGTGGGTTCAATCCCCAGTACTGCAAAAACAAAACTAAGCAAAATCCCATAAAAATCATTCACAGCTGTGGGCTACACAAAACCATGCATGAGGCCAGACTTGACCCACAACTATAGTTTGCCAGTCCCTATTCTGGGATATGTCAGAATGTCTGGATATTGCTTACAGAAAAAAAAAAAAAAGATCTGTTCAACAATTGAAACCTCTTATTAAAAACTGTTGGTATTTAAATCAGGTTAAGTTTTTTATCCTAAGATAAACCTGCAGTCATTACAGAGTCTGAGTTGTAAAGTCACCTTCTAACATGAGTTAATGGAAATTGTTTTAAATACCGGAAACTTACCTTGGCTGACTTACACAGAAGTCATTTATTGGATTTTACTGGGTTTATTATTGAGATTTATGCAAGGATACAGTGGCTTTCAGAATTCATAAATAATTAGGAACTGGGCTTGGAAATGGGCAGAAGCAGTAAGTCAATTGAAGTGAAGTGATACTTTTGGTAACAGGGACAGTCTGTTAAGCAATCACCAAACTACAATCATTACTATTATTTTGGCAATACTGGGGTTTGAACTCCAGCTAGGGTTTAGGTCCGCCTTGTGCTTGCTACATAGGTGCTTTACCACTTGAGCTATACCATCTCCCCAGCCCTTTTTTTGCTTTATTTTTCAGATGGAGTCTTGTTTTGGGGGGCTGGCATCAGAAATAGCATCTCCCATGTAACTGGAACCATAGGCACATGCCACCATGCTCGTGGTTTATTGACATGAGATCTTGCTAACTCTTTTGCCCAGTTTGGCCTTAAACCACAATCCTCTGGCTCTTAGTTTCCCCGAGCAGAGGATTACAGACATGAGTGTAATGCCTGGTCCTGTCCTTGCACTATTCACTCCAGAATTTAAATATGAAATTTACCAGCATTCAGCTGGTTGACTTTAGGTCAGGTTGTATTGCAACAGGAAGAGGAAGAAGGGAGAGTTTTGTTCTTTTGTCTTTTTAAAAGTGTGTGTATGTGCTACTGCGTTTTGAATTCAGGGCCTCAGGCTTGCTAGGCAGGCACTCTACCACTTGAGTCATTCTACCAGCTTTTTGTGTTGGGTATTTTCAAGATAGGGTCTCACAAACTATTTGCTTGGGCAGGACTCAAACCAAGATCCTCCTCATCTTTGCCTCCTGAGTAGCTAGGATTACAGGCATGAGCCACTGGCACCCAGTGGGTTTGATTATGACATAGGTAGAGATTGCCTTCCTAAGAATATACATACAGGATAGGAGTTAATGCCCCCAAAGTAAACAGGGGCCTATGGGGAATGAGTAATAACTTGAATAGCTAAAAAACAACTCCCCACTCAGTATTGGAACTCTTTTTTAACATCTTATTCAGCTAAAATAATAAATAGGTTAACCTAATTCTTCAGAGTCCTAATTCATCCCTATGGATTTCCAGATTAATATCATTGGTTAAATACCATCACTGGGGTGTGGCTGGAAGTGTAGCTCAGAGGTTGCATGTGGCCTTGGGCTCCATCCTCAGAAACACACACACACACACAAAGCCTCATCTAATTTTGTTCCCTCTCAAAACCTTATTAAATAAGCCAGGCAAGGAAGGATAAATATTGAATGCTTTCTCTCATGTGTGCAATCTAGGGGCAGGGAAATCACGAAAGTAGAAGGGGCTATTTGGAAAAAGGCAGGGAATCAAGAAGAGGTAAGTAAGGGTAATGGTGGTGAAAATGAACAAACATGGGGCCCTGAGTTCAAACCCCAGTACCAGAAAACAAAAAAAAACAAACTTGTCATGGATTCTTAGATTCTTAACTGTCTAGCAGAAAAAGATTCAGCATTTTTACAGGGGGAGGAAGAGAAACAGGGACTGACCCAGGACCTTGTGCACCCTACCACCCTATGACTAAGCTCCAGTGCCTTGACAGTTTTTGATGTACAAGATGAAAAATTTCAAGATTAATTTTTTAAAACACAAGCTGGATGAAAATGTAGGGCAGTTGTTAATAGGGAATATGAGGTAAAGCAGGGCCAGGAAGGAAAAGGCAGTACACTGATGAAAATGAGGCAGTCATCAGGTGAGAAAAAGGGAGACAGGATGAGAGACTGGATAATGAAAGAAATGACATGAAATGGTCTTCATAGAAAGTGGATAAGCAAACAAATTCTGGCACTGCAGCAGGGATGCTAAACCCGTTTAAGAATGGTTGATCACAAATTCATAGCAAATGCCTAGAGGGGCCTGCAACTGAAGCAGGCTGGGTAACCAAGGAATTGAAGAATACATGCCCCATCTAAAGGGGACAGCCACTGAATTATTGCCACAAAGACTGTCAGCCATATATAGCCAGATCTCCTGAGTTTTCAAGCAAAGACAGAAATCTTCATTTTTAAATATATTTTAATCTAAAGTATTACAAGGGCTGAAGAAAACAAGCCTTATTGCAAAAATATAGCCCAGGGATGACTACTTTGTGACTTATAATCAATACCATTTAGGCCTGATTACAAGATTTTCTTCAATTAGCCACAAGAATGAAATTTTGTCATTTGCAGGTAAATGAATGGAAATGGCAATAATCATGTTAGTGAAATAAGCCAGATTGAGAAAAACAAATATCATGTGTTCTCTCATATGAGGAGTACAGACCAAAGAAGATAGTAGGAGGGAGGAGGGTGAAAAGCAGAGCAAGGGGGCAAGGGGGTGGTGAATATGATTTAAACTGATGCAGTTTTTTGAAATTACAAATTTCAAATACAATAGGGGAGTTAGTCAAAGAAAAAAATTCAAAAACAATGGGGTAACACTATTTATGTTCAATCAGATGTTTTTAGATTAGTTGATTCAATAAAAATGCATCCTAAAAATAACACATAAAGCATAAGAAAAACATCAGGCAAATTCTAATATTAGTGAATACCAGACCAGTAGTCTGAAAACTGTCAAGATCATCAAAAGAGAAGTGTGAGAAACCTCCAAAGCTAAAGAAACATAAGGAAGCATGATGACTACACATGTGATATTCTGGTTGAGATCCTGGAACAGAAAAGGTAAATTAGATAGAGACAAAGAAAATACAAATAAATCATAGATTTTAGTTAATGACAATGTACAATATTAGTTCATTAGTTGTAAAAAATGTACCAAATTAATGTGAGATGTAAATAATGGAGAAACTATGTTGGCTGAGTACATGGGAATTCTCTGAAACAGTTTTTCAAAAAAAATTTTTTTTTTTTTTTTGCAGTACTGCGGTACGAACTCAGCATCTACACCTTCAGCCATTCCACCAGCCCTTTTTTGTGATGGGTTTATTTGAGATAGGGTTTGGGGAACTAATTGTCCGGGCTGGCTTTGAACCGCGATCCTCCTGATCTCTGCCTCCTGAGTAGGATTACAGGCATAAGCCAGTGGCACCAGCTCAATTTTTTGTTATAAAACTAAAACTTTAAGAAATAAACTCTATTAGAAAATACTATACATTTTTTAAAGATATAATGAATATGGCAATGGCCACCCATACACTCAATACCTAGCTTAATGATCAGTACGGGTACAGCCCTCTCCTTTTTTTGGTGGTACTGGGATTTGAACTCTAGGCTTTTGCACTCACTAGGCAAGCACTCCAGCACTTGAGCCATGACTCCAGTCCCGTTAGTTCCCCTCCTATGGAAATGACCACTTTTCGTTCCTTTGCATTTTCTATTTTTGTATGTAAGCAATATACAGCTTTGTTCTGTCTTTAAATTGAGAGTTGTCGCACTATTCGACGTCTTCCTCTTTTGCCTATTTCTGAGTTGTCTTGTTTTACCAGTATACAATATCCTGTTAATAACCCATGTTTTAGATTTATTTTAATGATTTTAACTTCTTATCGATGGACGTTCCTTTTTTCTGCCTCTACCCACAATGCTATTGTGAATAACCTGGTCCATGTACCAAAGCCTACAGAACATATACTTAGGAGTGAATTTTCTCTAGGCATTCAGATTGGATTAGATTCTTGCTTCGTTGTAAGCTGACTTTTGTGCCCACGTACTCGAATCTGCAAACAAATAAACATCAGCTATGAGCACCTTAAAACGCCTGACGCCACAATACCCGGCACAACCTTCCCAGGGTAGATACAGACCCAGGCTCGCTTCCGTCGTGGGCGTGACGCAGCGGCTGACGTCAGCGCGCTTGGGACGCCGGCGTCTTGCTTGACGACTTTGAAGGCCCCTTTCCGGGCTGTCTGACTTGATACAATTATCAGCATATGTTGGCCGATTGTCTCTTGTTTCCAACAAAGGAAAATATTCTCATAGAGTCTTCTGGTTCTCAGAGACGACTCCCTTCCCTTGGAAAGCTGCTTTCGGCTGGCGCTCCCTGAAGGCAGTGCCGCGGGCAGCCCAAAGGCCCTTGTAAGGCGCGCGTCGTGGCCCCTCCTCCTTCTTTTCGGCCGGAACCGCCATCTTCCAGGTAGGGCCTGCGCGTGGCTCCCGGCGCCCGGCGTTGGGCACGGTCGAATTGTATCCCTGCGGCCGCTGAAGCCGTCCATTAAACCTGTAGCGAGACTGTTTGTCCCGTCCGGATCCTGCTAAGTAGTTTAGGCGGTTAGGCTTTGTCTTTCCAGATGGGTGCAGTGTGGGGCCTGGGCCGGGGACCGGGGACCGGACTGCAAGTGCCGCGCCCCGCTTCAGTTTCAGATGAAAACGAAGCAGGTTTCTGGGGCTGAAGCTATTCGAGTGGATCTGAAAGAGTCGGTTTTTTGTTCCTGTGGCTTCAGCCTGGGTATCCCGGGCCCTCGCATGATCTCTGCAGGGCCGCGTGGCCGACTGCTTTTTCACCTCCTTTCAGAGTGGCGTTTTTATCCCAGACCTAAAACTAAAGCGTGGAATGCTGTGGAGTAAAGAGGTTGGGGTCGTAGGAACGAGTTTAAAAAAACAGGTATGGGTTTTGACTTCAGCGAAGCCTATCTGGAATCCTGGGCTCGTGGTCGGAGAGCATGGTGGGTGTCGCTGAGTCATCATTAATGCATGAGCCAACTTCAGATTTAAAAAATAATTGGCTCCGGATGGCAAACGGAGGAAGGAAAAGTTATCCTAAGGTAGTCACTAAAATGTTTTTTTTTTTTTATGTTTGGCGGTATTAGGGTTTGAACTCAGGGCTTTACACTTGCAAAGCAGGCGCTCTGTGGCTTGAGCCATGCCTCTAGCACACATCAGTGTTTTATTTAGGTAGTAGGCATGTATTAAGAGAGATTCATCACTGATTTTGCTGCTTTATGGCTCCACAAAATGACTTGATTCAGCAGAGCTGGGTTAGGCAAAGCATGTCTTCTTGGCACACATTTTTTGTGAAAAATACTTTGGGTAGACTCATTCTGTGAGGAATGTTAGTAAACGAAGAAACTGATGTTATATTAGAACACTATCAACAAGTTAAGCCTGACTGCGCTATTTTGCCTTGGAAGAGTAATTAATTAAGGATACTTTCTCCCTTGAATAACCAGACTGGTCAAAACCATGTCTTTGGGGGGAAAAAAAGGAAAGGTTATAAATACAGGTGAATTCTTGGGTGATGATACAGTTAGCTCCCAGTTACTGTTGAGCAAAAATTGATGAGTGCGTTGTGTGGACATTACCTCATTTGGTTATAAAAGTGTTACCCCATTTTATAGGTGGGGGTGTGAGTTTAAATGTATGTAGGTCTCCCAGCAAGTAAGTGGCAGAATATCAAATACCCCATTGGTTCCTCCTCCTTTTACCCTTTCTACTCTATACACACTTTCTGGTAAATAAATGAGCAAAAGCAGTATGAAGTGAGTTGAGAGGTTATCAGGGAAGTAGATGACACTATCACAGAAACATAGGTTAATGAGAAAAGCAATTTTAATCAGCATGAAAGTGCAAGGCCCAGTTTTGTCATGTTGTCCAATGATAAATTATCCTCTGGTTAGTAATTCAGTGACTTTAACATTCTAAAGTATGCTAGTTGGCTTTTGTTTCTGAAAATAATTTGAGTGTAAGTAAGTGTCCTATATGTTAAATACCAAGAAATAATCACTATTCTATACAAGTCAAGCTGTAATACTTACTGAGGAACTAAAACCAAAATAGCCGCTCAAGAAACAGTGATAATCATGCTCCAATATTGGACACAGTAATAATTGCTCTTTTTTATCAGATCACATTGACATGTAGTGTTACATTGTCACAGAATATAAAGATTCTCACCTACTTGGTTTTACTTCATATCAGTGAATGAAAATAAGTCCTGTAGACCTTTCTCCAAGCAGTAAATGGGGAGAAAAAGGGAGCACTATAATTTACCTTTCCTTCAAAGAAACAAGCCCAAAATCTGTTAGAGAAAATTTGGGAATAGTTCCTAGTCCTATTCATTTTGTATGGCGTACCAGAATGATGCAAGTCATCGCAGGAATCTGGCGATCCAAATTTGTCCACCAGGACTCTTGCTATTCTGTCAGTGGGAAAACCTGTAGTTATAGGTGCAGATCCTATCTTTTAATTCTGGAGTGCCAAAACTGCAACTCAGTGCTTCTTGGGTTTTGTTTGCACCTTCCATCATATTCTTTAGCTGTCTTTTCAATTGGATAAATTTTTCACTTGTGTGGATCCCTTCAGATCCTTTATTCCCGGTTTTATTGCATCATCCGTGGTCTTGGTGTCCTTCAGTGATCAGATGGTTAAAGGACTGTTTGGCAAGGTTGTGCTGATGCTGCTCATGCATCCGTTTCTGCTTTAAAACCCTCAAGGCTTTTTGCTTGACCATATTCTTGACAGGATCCTCTCTCATCTTGCTTTAATTCTTACACTTCATTTGCTCAACAGCATCCAGTCCAGAAGCCTTCATGTTAGTGGATTCTGCCCTGCTATCCACATTTCCAGTGCAGTCAATCAGGCTGGGTGGTGGAGCCTTTGGGTGTCACTTTCCCGAAGAATCAGTTCATCTTGGGTGGCCACAAAGAAAACCAACCCAGCCACTTCTAATATCCAGTTCTGTTTAGGATTAGTATTATAGAACTTGTACCGTTTTGGCAAAGACCTTATTTGCTACAGTGGTTTGGGGTTTTTTTAGAAGTCCATTAAAATAGTGATTTGGTGATTTAGCTGTTTTAGATTGTTTCCTAATCCTCACTACTAGAATACAAACATTTGAAATGAATGGTATTTTTTGATAAAGGGACAAATGCCAACTTTGAGTTATTTGACTTACTGTACTTTCTGATTTCAGTAATCCACCAAAATGACGAACACAAAGGGAAAGAGGAGAGGAACCCGATACATGTTTTCTAGGCCTTTTAGGAAACATGGTAAGTAGATTGATCCTCCTTGAGAGTAAGTATAGCTTCCTTTTATATTTTTATTAATAAGGGTTTTGGTTTGTATAATACAAATACCTTATGCCTTGTATATTTTGTAATGAATAAAACGAATTAAATTTCATAACTCTAATTTAGTTGTGAAGGTTAGGCTGTAGATATATGATAGTTAACGATGGTGCAGGTTTAAACATTGGACAGAAGTTACAATGTTGTAGACTGATTTTGCTTCAAAAGAAATTGCCCGTTAGCAAGATATTAAAATCCATATTAACTGTCACTGTTGTGTGTGTTGAAAGCTAATAAAATTACTTTTTTTTTCAGGAGTTGTTCCTTTGGCCACATACATGCGAATCTACAAGAAGGGTGATATAGTAGATATCAAGGTAAACTATAAAACAGGAAATAGTAGTAGAAGTTAATGGTAAACCTCCAGTGAAAGCTGTGCTCTTTTGTGACCTGTATTTAAATGTGCCCTGGCACTCTGAGCTTCATGATGATTGTCTTTTTGATTGCTTGAAGCAATGTGAAAAACACATTTCACCGGCTCTGAAAGCTCTTAAATTGCCATCTAAAAAAAAATCTTCAAATGTCTTGGTTTCCTAGTAGAAGTTAGGGTTGGAAAGGAGGAGAGATTGCTAGAATAACATTTGTCTCCTTTCTTACTCAGGGCATGGGCACTGTTCAAAAAGGAATGCCCCACAAATGTTACCATGGCAAAACTGGAAGAGTCTACAATGTTACCCAGCATGCTGTTGGCATTGTTGTGAACAAGCAAGTTAAGTAAGTAATGGCATAGTGCTTTATGGCTAATTAGTTTTCGGAAACTTACCCCCTTTCACTTTGCCAATTGGACTTAATGTCTTTATTGGTCATTCAAGTGGGGCAAAGGAAATAACCTTTTAAAACTCAGGCAAACTGAGTGTTTGTCCTGTAACCTGTCAAAGGAAACATTGAAATTGATTTATCAGATAGTCTTACAGACTTGGTATTAAGTAGTTCTAGTTTTTGTAGCACAAATGTTTTCTGTGTTTAATTTATTAGCATCCTTGTTCTGCCTAAATTACTAGTGTGTCAAGCTGCCAGGGATGTTCACTTCAAGGCCTCTTCCGATAAAATTAATGACCACATCATCACCTTGTTTTGTCCTTAATAAAAGATTAATAGTTAATATGATACTGTCAGAACAGTCTTCTTCATTTCCATTGTTTTTTGTTAAATCACTTACAAGAATTTCTGCTTTCCCCAGGGGCAAGATTCTTGCCAAGAGAATTAATGTGCGTATTGAGCATATTAAGCACTCAAAGAGCCGAGATAGCTTTCTGAAACGCGTGAAGGAAAATGATCAGAAAAAGAAGGAAGCCAAAGAGAAAGGAACCTGGGTTCAGCTGAAGCGCCAGGTAAGAGCTTGGCTTGGCAGAGTTTATGGGTATTGATCTTGAAGAATTTCTAAAGCTTTGCTTGCTGATTTTTTTTTTTTTATGGGAAGTTTAAGAATTGTGTGTATTATTTCATTAGTTCTAGGAACACTTTAAAGTTGAATCTTAGTGCTTCATATAATTTTTTTTTCCTTAATAGCCTGCTCCACCCAGAGAAGCACACTTTGTGAGAACCAATGGAAAGGAGCCTGAGCTGCTGGAACCTATTCCCTATGAATTCATGGCATGAAGGATGTCAAAAAATAAAAGGCTTTGGACTGTGTAAATTTCTTAATCAAGTAAAAATGTGGTGTATTCTTCCTCCCAAAAAAATATTTAAAGCAAATTTTAATTAAGTATTTTTCTTGCTTAAAGATGTAAAGTAGCTTAGCGTACAAGTACACTTGCCTGTACACAATGGCCAAGTCATTGTTTATAGAGATGATGTGGTGTAGTACACATCTAATCATAGCACTCTGGAGACTGAGGCAGGAGAATGGTAAATTGAAGGCCAGCCTAGGCTACCCAACAAGACCCTGCCTCAAAAGTGGAAGATAATCTGTTGTATTTATAAATAGATGGATTTTAAGGATCAGGAATTTTCCTTTGAAGTCTACTGCCTAAAAATAATTTTTTAATTAGGATTTATTTGTTATACAAGGAGGGGATTCATAGTGACAATTCTGATTAGGCTTATATTGTACATTAGTTATGTTGCCCCCATAGTCTCTCTCCCTCTGCCCCCTCACCACCCCACTTAAAGCAATTGCAAGAGGTTTCTTTGTTTCATATAGGTACATGAAGTCCATCAACCACATACCTTACCTTCATTCACTCTCCCCCTCCCACTAGTACCCCCATGCTTACACTACCTATTTTACAGTCTTGTGTTTCATTATTAATATTAAAGTTGATATTCAAAGGAGTTTCTCGCTGTATCCCTGCTGTGAGTATACTTTGGTCCATTCATCCCCCTTCGAGGCCAGTGCTCTAGGACTGGAGCTATCCTGCCTGCCAGCCACTAAAGCTTTTTTTCTGTTTGGTGGTCACAGGTGAATTATGTACTAGTTATGAATTGCCTTTATTCATGGAATAGGACAAAATAATAGTGTCTTTTTGTCCTCAAAAAAATCCTGTAAATTTTGGTGGTTTGCAAGTTATAGAATTTTTTTATTTTCACATTTCTGGTGTCTAGAAAATCTAAGACGAAGGTGTGAGTGTCAGGTCTGGTCCCTCCTGAGGGCCTGGCCTCCGCTTTGAAGATGGTGCATCAGGACAAGCTATCACATGCCAGATGAGGAAAGGGGTGTAAGGTGGGCTAGGCTATTTTCTCTAGCCATTTTATGAGAGCACTAGTGAAAGCAGAGGCTAGGCCCTTTTCCTACACATCCCAAAAGCTCTGTCCTTGAGTTTCAACGTGAAGTTTTGAGAGTGACACACTTAAGCCATAGCATTATTAATTTTACCTGAAACAGGAGTTGCCCCATTTAAAAACATAATCAGTCCTAGCTTCCATCCTTGGAGTTTTACTCGTCTCACATGCCTCAAGTGTTTCATGACCCTATCTGAACCCAGGTTCACCGTGGGTTTCCTGTTCTCCCTCCAAAGTGGATAGAGAAAAGAGCCGGATTGGTGTTCTTGAGTTTTCTCTGATAAATTTGAGTGGGTGGAAGGTCTGGATTTGAATCTCAATGAATGCCTAAAATAGTATTAACTGGCCCTAAGAATTCATTATTTTGTGGGCTGGGGTATGGTTTAAGTGGTAGAACATGCCTAGCATGTAAGAGGCCTGGATTCGATCTCTAGTACTGCAAATAGAAGCTGGCTGACACTAAGAAGGTTTGAGGCAGGGGTATCAAAAAAAAAAAACTAAGCAATGCTGGGTGCCAGTGGCTCATACCTGTAGTCCTAGCCACTCAGGAGGCAGAGATCAGGAGGATCTCTGGTTCAAAGCCAGCCCAGGCAAATAGTTCATGAGACCCTATCTCAAAAATAACTGACACAAAAAGGGTGCTGGAGTGGCTCAAGGTATAAACCCTGAGTTTAAGCCCTGGTACTACCAAAAAAAGAACAGTGAAGATTGTTTGAAATTTATCCTCCATTGCTCACATCGCCTCCAAAAACAATACATCACTTGTTCATGTGATATATTGTGATTACAGTTCATGGCACCACTGTGCTTTAAACTCCTGCATAACCCTCACTTTTCATGTTTTAAAATTGTCTCCTTTATTTCCTGAATATCATTTGTGCCCATTTCTTCTCTTTATCCCTGTCCCTTGTCTGTTCATACTTTCATTATAGCAGCCTCTAGGTTCTTTAGTTTTTTTGTTTTGTTTTGTTTTGGCAATACTGGGGTTTGAACTCAGGGTCTCATGATTGGTAGGCAAGTGCTCTTCTATGACTTGAACAACTCTACCTTTTTTGTGTCAGGTTTTTTTCTTGTTTTCATGTTTGTGAGAACTATTTGCCTGGGATTAGCCTTGAACCACGATCCTCCTGTTCTCTGCCTCCTAAGTAGCCAGGATTATATGTGTGAGCCACTCATGCCTGGCAGGCTCTATAGTTTTGTTACGATACTGTAAGCTACTTAGCCTACGTGACTCAATTTCCTTATTTGAGAAGGGAGTAATAGTGAGGATTAGATGGGAGTACTTAGAAAGTACCTGACATGGTGTCACTCAGTAACTGCCAGCTTTAGTTTCATAATCTTTTCTGCTAATTAACTTTAGTTTTCCTATACAACTGCTTAAAGAAGTATTTTGGAAATGTAAAATTATGTCATTACTCCAACTAAACTAGAACTTAAAATTTAGGGTACAGATTTAGCCCCTCCTTTTGTATATTCTCTTTACTGATTTAAATACTATGTGAATGTGAAATCTCCTGTAGCTCGTAAACTGTTCTAATATAATAAGAATACTGATATTCCCCTGAATTATAGTTCTGTAATTTTAGAACCTAAACCCTCCAACTATCAAGTGCTCCTTGTTTTGTAAACTACTAGTGCACATATGTATTTCATATCATTGAAAATATTTATAAATCAGTCTTAAAAACTGAATCACTTTGCACTAAAGAAGATTATTTTTCCTTTTCTTTATAGGTGAACATTCTTAAAAGAAAATTTAGGAATTCTTCACTCTTTTTCTTTGCATGGTTACTTTGGCAGCCACTGGGGTCATTGCCTTAGAAAATGAGATCTGGGTCCTGATCTTCCAAGTTTTTTTCTCCTGACTCTTCCTCCCAGAGGCCATCCAATAATTAGTAATCTGTAGGTCTGTGTCTTCCTTTGGTGCCACATCTGCAAAATCTGCTGACTCTGTCATCCACATCATACATTTCTGAATCTTAAGTTTGTCTTTAGAGGTTTTTCAACAGCTGCTTCAGTACTGGTTCCTGTTAACGTCTTCAGAATTTTCAGAGCACTTGGATTTTCCCAGAATTCAGAATATCCTAGCAGCATCTAAACACTTCAAATTCTAGTTCTCGGCTGACATCTGCTCAGATTTACCGATAGAGGCATTAAAACATCCCTGTAGTAAACAACATGGCTAGGAAAAACTTACTAACTGTACTGTAAGCTTTTGCCCTAGATTTTCTTTTTGCATAAAATCTTCAATGTTAAGATAAGCATGTCTTAAAAACATGATGAATATTTCCTAGTTCACCCATAACTTTGATGTTATCAAATGTAATGGGAACCTAAGAGGCTCTTGGAATGATGCAGGCACTCCACACAGAATTGCTCTTGGGTGCTAGTGTCTTTCCTGTTAAGGTAGCAAGGTGAGAGTGAGATGTACCTTCAGTGCAGGCTGGACACCAGGCAAGAGTAGCTGCTCTCTACCTATGCACAAGTAGTGTGTAGGTTGGCAGCTCTAAGCAAGGCAGGACTGGGATGTCTTTTGTCCTACCACATCCCATCAGAGGCCATCTTTAGCCACAGTCATTGAGCAATTCAGTCATTTGGCTTCTCCTTGTTACAGAATTGAGAATTATGCTACTAACATTTGTTGATTATTTTACCTACTGTCAACCTCATGACAGTTTTGAGATGTGGGGGGAACTACCATGTTTTTTGTGTAAGAAAAATGGCTCGAAAAGGGAAAATAACTGAGCAATAGTCACTGCCAGAAATGGGAGAGCTGTGACTTAAACCTATTACCTTCATGCCAAAGAGTTTCTCTAACCACTGCTTAACTACAAGTGAAGATTTGGTGACTCCCAGTAGATCAGATAGTGTGAGTGGGTAGCCCAGTTCAAGGTCAGTCTGGACAAAAAGTTGCTAGACCCATCTCAACAGAAAAAGCTGGGCATAATGGTGCAGAAAGCCTAAAGTAATCCAGCCTGGGCAAAAAGGAGACCCTATGTCAAAAACAACTAGAGCAAAAAGGACTGATAGAGCCCCGTCTAGCAAGTGCAAAGCCCTGAATTCAAATCCCAGTGCTGCCAAAACAATAGCCAAAACCTTAAAAAAGCCCCAGTTTTTTGGAGGTATAACTGATATAAAGAACTGTACATATTGAATGTATACAATTTGATGGGTTTGTACAGATGCAAAAACTTGATTATTACACATCTAATCCTTTGTAATCTGGTTTCTACTAAATTGTTTTCTCTTTAATTTCCTGTTTTTCCTATGTTATATTATTAACTATTTGGGATATTTGCTCATGTGCTTGTCTTTGCATGAAATGCCTATACTCTCCTTGGTTCAGTTGATGAATTCCTGCTTGTCCTTCAATTCTGGGTTAAAGAATGTGTGTCTTCCAGATTCTTGATTCATTTTGATAAATTTATTTCCTGAGGAGTTGTACCAGTCTGTACTCCAGCCTGCTATACATGAAAATGTTTGCCTCAAGCACTTCATCAGCATTGATTATTATGATATAGGCTTTGCTAATATGCTAGAGGAAATATTATATTTCTTTATTATTGAGTTTGTCTCCAGTTAGCTTCTGAACACTTGCTTAGCTTCCTTTTATCTCCTTTGTAGTTTTGTGGGAACTTTCTTTCTGACCTCCCTATATTGATGTGCCTTTATACTCCAGGTGTTATTTGGTCTCATGGCTTTGAATGTCATTTATATCCTGACAATGACCCTGGCCTACAAAACCCTCCATCATCTGGGCTGTGTTTCTGACTTCCTCTTCTTATACTGCTTCCAGTCCCAAAGGTAGATTTGATAGCACTTTGCCTCCTTGCTGTGCCTTTGATATGCCAAGCACACACTTGCTTCAGAGCTTTTGTGCTTGATGTTTCCTCTGTCTGGAATGCTTTTCCTTCATAGCGCTCCATG